AACAACAACAACACACACACACACACACACACACACACACACACACACACACACACACACACAGCCAGTAAAGAGATGGCGCCCGTTGTGAGTTGGCGCGCAAACCCTTTCCCCTCTCTCTTTCCCCCATTGGCAACGGCCTATAGATATCCAGTCACCTCACTTTTATCTCGGTGCTCCAGCTGACCACGGGCTCGAACAACAGAACATCAGCGCCGCCGTGGAGCGCTCTGCGGTTCTGGGCAACCGGGCCGCGGGCCACAACGGCGTGATCCAGTCGAGGAGGGGGGTCGCGAACACGCACCCCAACATCTGGGTGGAGGTCCTGACGCCCAGGGACCAGAGGCACGAGGTGCCAATCGTCATGGTGCATGGCGACTACCACACCGGCTCTGTAAGTACCTCTGATCCGGGATTCCAGTCTTTACAGGCTTTTGCATAGCAACCCCCTCCACTTCCTTGAGCCGCACTTCGTTCCGCTGTCCTGGCTTTCCAGAAACTCCTGGTTCCTTGCCAGCACCCGCAAAGCATTCACATCTCAACCACCAGAAGCACGTCAGGCGGCCCTCATAATGGCATCTCCTTCGTATACAGCCATAACATTTCTGTTTTTCTCTCTTGCCAATCGCCTTTGCTCCATAACTGACCTCTTCCACCAGGTGTGGGACATGGACCTGGACCGCACCCAGGACTCTCGGACTTGGGCCGAGTGCTTCCTGGGCGCTGGATACCAGGTTCATCTGGTCGACCTGCCGGGCGTGCGGCTGTCGGGGAGCACCACCGAGGGGTCGGATCGGCCGATTGAGCCACGGATGGCTAGCACTGGCTTCGTCGAGGTGAACCTGACGGGCATGGGCCACAGGGGCCCATTCATGTACGACAGTGCATGGCGCCACGTTGGGTTCCCCGGTGGCCAGGACGGCGGTCCCTACAGCAAGGTAAGTCGAAACGTCATGGAAAGAAAGAACAGCCATCCCCACGTGACACTGTGACGATCCCCATGCTGACCGATGTGCTTTTCTTCCTTCCTCGACAGCCTGGCTGGAGGCAAGACCCAGCCTTCGACTACTACTACGGCCAGATGGAGGAAAAGTGGGAGTTCTCGGGCCGTCCGGTCCAGTGGACGATGGACGCGGCCGCGGCGGTTGTCTCCGTCATCGAGAGGCTGCCGTCCAAGAGGGCGGTGCTCGTGGCCGAAGGGAGGGGCAGCGAGGTGGCCATGATGGTGGCGGACTACCGCCCGGAGCTGGTGGCGAGCATCCTCGCCGTGGGGCACTCGCACGCCCCGTTCGCCAACACCCTCGCCGTGTGCATGGCCGCGAACAAGAACCGCGGCGTCGCGTTCACCGGCGCGGCGATGACGGAGCGGCGCGCTGCGCGTCAGGGGATCTTCGACGTCCCCATGCAGTTCTACCCGCCGCTGCCCCACCAGAGGGACTACAACCCCGAGGACGGGCAGGTCTTCGAGACGATCGTGCACAGGAACGAGGACGGCGACGAGTGCCTCCTCCAGGACCCGGCCAAGACGGTGCGCACGCTCCCGTTCCTGGCCCAGGTCCCGATCGCCATCATGACGGCCGAGGCGAGCATCAACAGCAGCTTCGACTGGGCCATCGTCAAGTTCCTGGAGCAGGCCGGCGTCAAGACCGAGTGGCTCAAGCTGGCCGAGTTCGGCATCCTCGGCAACGGGCCGCTGCCGTGGCTCGAGAAGGGCGCGGCCGAGTCCGGCAAGCTCGCCGTCGCCTGGGCGACCAAGACCACCTCTGCCGACGCCAACGAGGTCGCGGCCGCCACCGCGCTCCTCACCCCGTCGCCCGAGAACGTCGCGGTCGCGCGCGAGCGGAGGCGCGAGGACCGCGAGAGAGCCGACGCCAAGAACGGAGAGGAATACTTCGAGTGGGTGCATGGGTGGCTCGATAAAACTCCGGCTGACCAGTGGCACCACCCGACGACCCCCGCCGACAAGTACGCCTTCGAGGTCGGGCTGGCATGGCCGATACCCCCGGACATGAAATACGTGGACGGCGTGAGGTATCGGCGCAGCGGCGATCACGGCACCCGCGGCGATGGCGGCAACGACGGCGACGATGGCAACGGCGGCGCGGGGGGGCGCAAGCGCAAGCGCCAGGACGGCGACGTTGGCCAGCCTGGTCCTAGTGGCGGTCTTGCCAACTAGGCCACCAACCTCGCTCCCCGGACTCGGTAGAGATGATACTTTACTCCCGAGCTCCCAACCGCCGGCGTCATATATCCCACGACCGGTTCACGTCCCGCAAGCTTCTCTGTCGCCAATATCCTGCGGCCATGTCTCCTTCGCCCTCTCTTGCGCGTCTGGCCATCGACGCGTATGTACCTCACCAACTCGTCGCCATATACACGCGGCCCAGTTTCCCCCTCTCCTTTCGCGTCTCGCCACCAGCGCTCATAGTACTCACGCCTGACGTCGCCATACCCACGACCCGGTGTTCTTTCTCGCTTCTAGCCGTCGGCGTCGCCATATGCCCGCGACCCAGTCTCTCTTTGTCTCGCGTCCAGTCAAGCCATCGACGACACAGAGTTACTCATACCCGACATGGCCATATATCCGAAGCGCAGCGCCTGCCTCTCTTGATCTCTCGTCTGGTCATCGACGTTTATCGTACTTTCGACGTCGCCATAATATCCGCGACATAACCTCGCTCTTGCGTTCTCGCGCGTCCGGCCATCAGCGCCCATACAGTCTGCAAGCCCGCCGCCACATACCCGCGGAACCAGCTCTTCTGTCCCTCGTGCGCGCGTCTGGTCATCGAATCGACGCCCTAGTAACCATCAAGCTTGCCGCCGCTATATCCCCGGGGCCCAGCTTGTTCTATCTCTGGCTTCTCGCCTCTAGCCACCGACGTTGACAGTTCCTTCACGCCCGGCGTCGCCCATATCTCACGCCCCGGCTCTCTCTCGCGTTGGACAAGAAACGTTTCGAGTACTCTTGCGCCTGCTGTCGCCTGATATCCGTGACCCGGAGTTTTTTTTATCTCTCTCTCTCTCCCCTCTCGCGTCAGGCTACAGAAACTCGCTCGTACCACTCGCAAGCTCACCGCCGCCATACATCCGGGGCCCAGCTTTTGTCGATAACTCGCGCCCAGACAGCCCATGCTCAGCATCTGCGCACCCAGACTCTACCAAGGACGAGCTTTTCCTTCTACTGTTATCTGTACGGCTAGTTTCCTTTGTCCTATATTTTTAACTGCCTCGATTAGCCTCATATCCTGCGCACGACTTTGCCCGTTGTGGTCCGCAGAGTGGCTTGTATAGACTAGTATCACTTGTTTGCTTTTCACGGTTCGGCGCGACCTTGTTTGCGCACGGCTTGGCACGCCGTGGTCTGCAGAATGGTTTCCTCTTCCTCGGTCTTTACCGGGTTCTTAGACATCGGCGTTGGAGCGTTGGAGCATTTGGAGCACCGGAGTTTGTCGTTGGCTTCATAAAGATACCCAGAAATCGCGAAATCGCGTGCGCTTGTTGAAGCAGACAGCGCTTAATAGATCACAGAAGTTGATTGATCCTACTCGGCGGTTTCCATCCTTGGCTTGTCTCGTGCATTGTCAATTCCAATCCCTTCTCGAGGTCTGTGGCGGCCTCTATCCCAAGGCCAAGGGGATCATGGTGCGTTGGGGTGAGTGAGCCGTATGGACAATCATATACGGCTTCAATCCCATTTAGATGCCCGCGTTACAAACATATACCCACGGAGCTACCTGGACTTTTCTGCGTGATGTGTCTGCTCCCAAAGAAGCAATGAAACACGGCTGGAGGGCTCCGCAGCCAGGGCAGTCATTGAAAGAAGAAAGTAGCCCAATGAAGACACGGGTGCAAAGTACTATAATTGCTCGGCAAAGGCAAACGTGGTAAACCCCGGTGCTTCCTCTTGTACGACTACGCCCTGGATCAAGGTGTCACAGGGACAACCAAAAATGCCCCGACTTCCATTAATCAGAGCGCACTACACTACATTGAGCAACAGCACGAGTGGGACTGTGGTACCAGCCGGTATACCAAGGAAAGGCCAAAAGTTGAGCTCCGGGCCTCCAGCAGACAACCCAGGAGAGGCGCGAATGAAGACGGCAAGGGACCAAAATGTTGAGAAAACCCCCTAGAGCCAGGCCTTCTCAATCAAGCACCACCCTCCCGCTTGGCGTACTCGTCCTGTGATAGTCGCTGTTTAGTACGTTGATTCACGAGTAAGGGAGGGAGTGACATGATGTGGGCAGGTACAAACCTCGATCGCCTCCATATACTTCTCCTCGGCGGTCCGGGGGTCCTCGTCGAGCACGCCCTTCTTGATCAACTCGTCGGGCGTCGGGCGGTGGGCAATCTTGTCGTTGAGGGTGTCGACCTTGAAGTGGCGCTCGAGCTCCTTCTGGTGTGCCTGGAGTGCGGGCGCGGCTGTTGAGGCCGGGAGGATGTTGCCTGGCGTTTGTGGCGTGAGTATAAAAGCGGCTCATGTCAGAACATGGGTGGAATTAACAAGGAACAAGCTGGGGTCTTACGGTCAACCAGCTCTGTACGCTCCGGGCGGTGCATCAGGTGCTGCTCGAGCGAGTTCTTGCGTTCGGTCCGGGAGGGCGAGATGGGGGTGCGGTCGACGGTGGGCTGCTCCTCGGCGCTGGCGCCGCTGGTATTGGGGTCCTCAGCCATCCTGGTGGTTGTGGCGGTGGTGATGTTTGGATTTGACGAGAGGGGCAAGCTGGGGTTGTGTGGCGGTGACGTAATGGCCCGTGGAGCTGGGCAGGTGGGTTCAGGGGAGCTCTATTGACAGACGGAATTCAGGTGGGAAATGACGGGAGGCTGCAGCTGGCGATAAGTTCACCTGTGGCTGTTTGTCAGGTATCGATGATGTCGGCAAGGGAGAAGAACAACATGAAGGTGGCAACGGCCGGACGCGTGCCAGGAGTGAGGGGAAGCCGCAGCACGCATTGTTTTATAGCCAAGGCTGCAGGCTGGCGAGTGGTCTGCTGTCTGGTCGCGGCGGAAACGCACGACAACAGGCGACCCAACAATCAAAGGTCACGGGCGGGCAGGGACTGCAATTGCTCCCGGCAAATCGAACTGCAGCGCAGCGCCCGTTTCTCCAGCAGCGGGGCTGCATGCTGCCCCGCGCAGTTTGGACACTGTATCAGATGATTGGCCCCAGGTGGCGATGGCTCACTGTGGTGTGCTGGCCCGCAGTCAGCACAGCAAGCACGGAAAACACAGCAACAAAAACATTGACAGCAAGAACAGCAAGAACAGCACACACAGCTGAGCGTGGGATCCATCCATGGACGCATTCGATCAATCAAGGCAAGGCGCCTGACCTGGGCACCCTTGGATTCGCTCACTTGTGCATAATACATGGACACTGGCGCAGTGCCCGATGCGATGCGCACTTTAATCTTATTGCCGACGCCGTCGACACCGAGACTGACGATATCCCCCTGAATTCGCTCGGTGGCCTAGCTGCCCGTGCAAGGTTCTAGATTGCAACCCCATCGCCCGCCTTGCCGCGGGGGATTCACCGGAAGCCGGAAACGGAAGATTTGGACCACACCTGGCGGCGGCCTTGAGCCCCCACCCGTACCTGGGTCTCGTCCAAGGTTCAGCCAGCTAGCCGTCATAGAATTTACGTTCGATTAAGCGCAGAAAGAAGAGAGAGAGAAAAATGTGTCTGCCTGATCTGCCTTGTCAATTCCAACAAATTGCTGCCCAAGTCTCGAAACCATCTCCAGTTGGGTGTGCTCAGAGATTAGCATGGAGGCTCAGGTTGCCACAAACACTAGAAACACCGGGTCCAGAACATATGAGCAACAGGGGAATCCTGGATTCTCGATGCCTGGCATGCCTGTCCGAACTGGCTTCCTGGGCTCTTGCAGGGGGCCGGGGTTGGACATGGCTCAAGCCCCCTCCCTATGCCAAAACCCTTCTTTGGCCAAAAAAAAAGCTTCCCTAATCTATTACCCTGCACTTGCATCCGCGTCACTGCTGTGCCACATGGTGGCAAGCCTCCAACCGCGGGGGCGACCATCACTTGGCACTAAGCAGCAGGCAGACATCGATTGAGTGTCTTGGCCAGGTGAGAGAGCAGAGAATGGCGAATGCAACAGGAAGAAGACTCGAAAATTGAGAGAAATTTTGTAATTCTTCATCAGGACAGATGTGTTAGCTGTGAGCTATCCGAGACATGTAGGTATTGCAGGACAATCTAGAGCCAGTGGATGTAAACAGAAAAAAAAAAGAACGCCTGTGTGAGCCAACATGCCGCCAGTTCCAAGAATAAAAACCATAACACCATTTGTTCCCATGAGAATTGTAGACGAAGTCCATTGCTCCCAAAATACCGAAACCACCCTTCCTGAATTAAGTTCCGTCGTGTCGTCGAGGCGTGTGCCGAATCAAGTGTAGTATGAGCGCATGAGGCGTTTGAAAGAGATAATCGTGCCGATGATGTTGAGGATGTTGTTGTACATGTTGTGGTAGCAGTGGCATGATCGATATCGCAAGGTGAGCGATGACGTCTAAATTGCGATGTCGATATTGTCGAAGCGAAGGTAGGTCCTTGTCAGGCTAGCTGTGTATGCCTGCGTGGGACGTCGTGATAGTTGGATGCGTGGTCCGAGGCGCGCTACCAGTTGACCACAACTACATCTTGGCCGCTCCTGTTCCTGCGCGACGAGGTGCCGACTGCGGAGTCCCGGCTGGCGTCGGGGTCGCGATAGTTTCCAGTGCCGCTCATTGACGAGCTTCCGCCAGAGCTGGAGGTGTACGTGGAGCCGGACGAGGAAGATGCTGAGCCGACGGAGCTGACCGAGGTCCTCCTAGGGTCCTGGATGACGACATCGTACTTGCTGCCGCGGGAGCTCATGATGGCGGGTGTGGAAGGTTGGTTTGTTGTAGAGCTTGAGGGAGACTCAGGTGGACTTGCGGTTGTGGTGCAAGTGGAAGTGGAAGGATGGAAGAGAGAGAGGTGAGTTTGTGAGTTCTATGCTGATCTGAACACTTGCGTTCAGTGATGGATGCTGATGCTGGATGGGGAGGGTAGATGCAATACGATAAGAGCAAGAAGGGGGATGGGAGAATATATAAAAATCGGCCACACGCTTGTGTGGAAGCATTGCGTACTGCGCATGGCAGTGCATCTCTACCAAGAACGAGGCAACGAAGGTGTGTGGAGACAGGCCATCCGGGGACGAGGCGGCGGGTGTTGGTTCGCCTGCTTGCACTGGGGGAGGGGGGCTTCTCCTGGCCTGCGGGACCTGCCGACGAACAAGAACCCAACGACAGGGGGTGCAAGACAGATAACGAGGCGTGCGAAATGACTCAAGGGCTGGGGGAGGCAGAGACGGGCAAAAGCACCGTTCCATGTTGCTCGACGCTGCCATGGTTACTGCCGACGACGACGCGCAACCAAGGAGGACGTTTGGGTTTCGCAAGTGATAGGCCAAACAAGACTGCCATCGGGCCGCCGCGGATTGGTACTTGGGCACCAGTCAGCGGGCGCATTGCCAGGGACTACCATGTAGCTCGACGAAGGAGCAAGCGTGTGCCGTTTCGCCGGAGCTGGGTGGCAAAAAAAAAAAAAAAAGAAGCAAAGAGGAAAAAGGGGACGTTGAAAAAAACCAAGGCCAGCCAAAAATGGCCGATGAGGCTGCTGCAAGGGAGGATAGGAGGGTGGGAGTGTGCATGAGAGTCGCTAGTGGAGGGCGGGCGAGGGAGCCTAGTGGAACTGCACAAGCGCGCGCTGCCGCCACGGGCACCAGGAGCAGACCAAATGGGGGCTCAGCATTGGGTCGATTGGCTGCAAGGTACGGCACAGAGACGGGCAACTCGGCAACCATGCGTGCTCATGCCTGGCATATGCAAGTCCTAGTACAGTACAGTACGGTCCGGCGAGTGGTCAGCTGCGGGTGCTGGGCTGGCAGGGCAAGCTGAGAAGAGCCGGCGGGACCCCTGGCTTTGTTTCCTCAATTACTACGCGGCGACGTCAGACTTCATTCAGGTGGTGGCTGATGCCGCCTTGGGGTTGGGCTTGGGAGCCAAAGGCCTCCAGCTGCGCCTCGTTGGCACCTCGCGGAAGCAGATTGATGGGGCCAGCGACGGCCGGAACGGGCCCAGGGCTCTGTGGAATCCAGTGCCTGCCCAGTGCCTGAGCACCGAGGCGGGTCACCTGGGCCCATCATTGATCTGTCAGTGCTGGTCCCTGGCCACACCTCCCCTCCCTTGAAGCCGGAGAAGGTCGACAAGTGACTCATTTTGACTGTCGATGCCCAACACTGCTTCAGGTTTGTTTGCTTGTGGCTGTCACGTTGCAAAGTAGAAAAAGACCAGGGATGGGAAGGAAGAACCAAAACACCAGCACGGGGCGGCATGTCCACGTCGGCGTCGTCCTGTCGCGGTGACCGGCGGCCAAAAACGGAAAACATGCGTAACGAGCCGGGCAGACCCCCAAGAAAACGAAATCACAGGGGCTAGGGCGACGCAATCTATCAAGCAGGAGAATCTGTACCTAGAAGGGCGCACCGCTAGGGAGGTACCTGCTCCCTAACGCAGGAACCTGGTAATTAGCTGCCGTTGCATGGCATCCATATGCGTGCGCAATGTAAACAATTCCAGCACTTCTGTCTGGTCTGAAGATTCCCGATTGGTAAACGAGGCACGCCATGTTTGGAGAAGGAGCCAGGGGAGCCCTCCACGTCCAGGGTGAGACCCAGCCATTGCAGGCCTCCACAGTAAACGATGCTGGCTGGCCCGAGCCAGAACGAAAGGGATGCAGGAGGATCAGCGCCACATTTCCAATCGGGGCACAACAAGAGTCACCCCGTCTGCTGCGCAATCCACCCAAGCACCCCCAGGACCCCAACCGCAGTCGCCCAGAAGACGCGTCGGCCTGTAAAGACGCGGTGGTGGTGCACAGCATCGCTGGGTGAGCATTCAGAGGCGAGCCCCAAAAATAGTCGCTCGTTGGACTGAGCTCGTAAACAACGGTCCGAGTCCAGGCTTGGGACTCGAGAGCAAGGGCTCAGGGACGGTATGGAATGGACACGACTGAGTGATTGAATGCACGCCCTACCCTGCCCTCGAGCTCGCCACATCAGACGAGGCAGCAAGGCAGATGGAAGTGATCGCCTGGGTCCTGGAAGCGAATCATTAGGCGCAGCTGTGCCAGCCCTCCAGCCTGGCTGATCGGGAATCTCCGTCTCCATCATGGAGAAGCCCAGCAGTCAGGGGAGCAGTCAGGGGGTGGGTGTTGCGGTAACACGTGACTGATGACGCAGCTCGAACCCCATCAAGCTCAATTCGGGGAGCAGCCGCCAATACCCCGCGCTCATTGGCTGACCCCCGCCGCGGCAAGCTGGCTTCGGCCCAATTGACCACCGTCGCCAAACCCACCACCCATCCCGCTCCTGACCGCCACCGTCCGCAACCTTCAACCCCTTCCTCCGCCTCACTTTGTTCGCCCGACTCTGCTGCTCCTCTTATCAACCCGGGCGCAACTAGCTTCGTCACGAGCCTAGATAGCGACCGAGCTCTCCCTCCCAAGATCAATTACCGAACCCCGCCCGTCCGAGCTCCACGATCACGAAAACACCGCCGCCCGTCATGCGCGTGCTTGCCTCCCTGTCCCTGCTGGCTTCGGCCGCGGTAGGTGTCCTGGCTGCCGAAGAGCTTCAGATCGACGTCACCCAGGCTGTCGAGTGTGAGCGCAAGACCAAGTCGGGCGACACCGTTCATGTACGTTGGCCCCCCTGGCGTTCGATCAAGCAGACGATCCGCCTTCGCCCGTGTGCCCCCTGCTGGCCCCGGCTCTGCAGCTCAAGCTTTGGGAGCCTCTCCACTAAATCGAGAGTGGTCCCGAACCGTCCCTGAGCTATGCACCCCAGGGGGGTGGGGGTGCCCCTGTACTGTAGCCTGCTGCTGGCGTGAGGCTAACTTTGCCCGTATCCAGGTTCACTACACTGGTACCCTGAAGGAGAACGGCAAGAAGTTCGACAGCAGCCTCGTACGTACCCCGGCCGAAACCTGGTGTCGCCCTTGTGAAGCGAAGTTGGGACACACGGAACATCAGACACGAGGTCGCGCCATGGGAGCCTATCGCTAACACTGTGCACCCTCACTGGCAACAGGACCGTGGCTCGCCCTTCAGCTTCGGCCTGGGCAGCGGCATGGTCATTCAGGGGTGGGACAAGGGCCTGCTGGACATGTGTATCGGGGAGAAGAGGTAAGACGTGCCCATGTGTCCTGTGTGGCGCTGCGTGTGTGTGGTGGCCCGGTGCCCGGTTTCTCTCGCTTGCCCCGTGTTTGTTTGCTCGCTTGCTGACACCGTCATCAGGACCCTCACCATTCCCCCGAGCCTTGGCTACGGCGCAAGGGGCGCTGGCGGTGTCATTCCCGCGAACGCGTGGCTTGTCTTCACCACGGAACTGATGGGCATCCAGGGCGTCCCCAAGCCTGAGAAGATCGTCACCAAGGCGTCTGAAAGCGCCAGCTCGGCCAAGTCCGAGGCGACGGAGAAGATTGCGGAGAAGGTGGCCGAGAAGGTTGCCGAGGCCGCCAACGTGGTCAAGACGATTGTCCAGGATACCGACTCTGACGCTCAGGAGCACAACGAGCTCTAAATTGGTGTGCCCATCTCACAGTGCAGAGTCGCAGCACACGCGCTGCTGACAACAGCAAACAACACAACCTTGCGATGTTTGTTGTTACGCCATGCATCCAAGGCGGTCGCCAGGCATGGTCGCAAAGTGGGAGTCAATGTTGTGGAACCAGGCTTGCCAGACCCATTGCTCGCGATGGCCAGGGGGTCTTCAGTACGCCCTTTGAGTAATTACTGGCAGGAAAGCTCGTAGTGCAACCTAATGGACACACATGAGAACAAACAAACAACATACGTGCCATGTGATAGGGTCGAAATTCCGCTGAAATGACGCATCTCTTTGTAAGTTGACTGCACATTATAGCTCATTCTGAAGAAGCAACTGCTGAAAGGAGATAGAATCTGCGTTTAAAGCATGACAACCCAACTTGTAGACGGAAAGAAAGAGGGTAGCTACCCGGTACCAAGGCACAACCTGCCTAGTAGGACGTCTAGCTTGCATCCGACCTTGGCTGGAGCCTTGGGAACCTGTAGATGGGATCCGACGCGCCCAGAAACGGACACTTTAGGGTTCCAAAACGGTCGCTTGTGCTCCCATTTACGCCCTCACTGACTTGTCCAACGACCGTTTTTTGCGCCCCACCCTGTTTGAGTGCGGACTCATTGTCTGTCCAATAGCACTTCAACCTCGCCCACCTATGACTGAGCATGGGATATGGCAAGCTTACAGATATCCTCCAGGTCCCAGACCCGCAAATGGCCAATATTGTGGTCCTTCTCCCTGGACGCAATGTCGAGCTTCCCAAACGCGACAGAGACGTTGGTGATCAGCCACACCTCGCTGAACAGGTCGAGTAGCCATCGCTAAGGAAGATGAGGCTGTCTACTAATGCCGAAGCAAAAGCAGATTCGTTTATAAACGCAATGGCGCATACGCCATCTCGATGACCGGTGAAGTCGTGGACGTGTGCCCTGGTTTTTACAAAGGCCTAAGCACTTTGCCAAGGGGGAGGTGGGAAAGCGAAGCGACCTGATAAGCCGGGCAGGAAAGTCACTCCAAGTTGATGTCCCACAATCCCACTTTACCAGCCGGCGACTCGCTCCTCTGACAGGCAGAAAGCATTGACGAAAAGAAGACAAAAGAGGACATTGTCTGGCCGAGAGCGACACAATCCGGCCAATGAAGTCAATGAAGCCCAACCAATGGCATCGGCTCGGCACTTGGACAAAAGACTCTCTGCCAATGAAAAGGCGCTGTGCTCAAAGCAAATCTCGATCTGGGCTTTGTCTCGGCGTCTTATTGTCCCCCAACGGCAGTTTCGGTATTTATACCGGCTGGCATGGTGTTGATAGCCGGGGTTTATTGCTCTGGACATCATCGAATGGTCCATTCCTCTTTTCGCACTTGCACCTGGCTACTCCGATCAACAGGCGCACCGGTGCGTATCAGCAGTTCAACGGAAGGATAGCAGGTAGTCGAAATCAGAGATTCTCCTGAACATCTGACAGGCAGCAGAAAACCAGGTAGGACCTCCCTTGTTGAAAAAAAGACGATAACGCAGCAGCCATGTGCCAGGTTACGAACGCAAAGTCCTCCGACCACTGCGGCTGCAGCTGGTTCGACCCCGACTCGAGCTCCCTCGAGCGCTGCGCCTGGGCCGCGGCCAAGCAGATGGACTGCCCCGACTTCCAGTGGCAAGTTTCTTCAACATGGAAAGTCGACGGCCCTTGTAGCTCCTGTAGCAAGGGTCCCGCCAAAGAGAAGCGCGGGGGCGTCTTTAAGAATCTGCTGAAGCTCTCCGGGGCCCGGAAATGATGGAGGCCAAGTGCGATTTTGTTGCGCGTCCGCAACGGACGAAATAGGTAACCAGGCCTTTGGATAAGGTTATTCGGCCACATACGTAAGTATAATATCCAAAAAAAAAAAAAAATGCATACATCATACATATAAACTGTGAGTGAGTAAAAGGGATCCAATAACGCAAGTGAGGCGCGTTCGCCGTAGAAGTACACAAGTGCGCCGTGAAGACATGGCTTCGGGGGTTGATATGCGGTGGTGCCAGAGGGTTCCATCACGAAGTGGTTGAACTGTGGGATCTTGAGCCTATACAGCGGAGCGATTACTCTGGCGCCCCCTCGTTGCATAAACATTCCCCCCTCAGGCACAATGTACACAATCGATGCTACAAAAATAATAACGATGGTTGTTCGCGACGGTTGAGACATTTCCAACCTACGGGAGTCGCAGTTCTACCAACAATACAGCTTTTGAGAAATCCTTGCCGGTAAAAGCGGCGGCTCTATCTACTTGTAGCAACCGGAAGCCAGATGACAAGGGAAAAGTACAGCCAACGGGGGCTCCAGGGGTTCTGCAGGCGTTTTCTTTCGCAGTGGGGAGAAGGGTCACGGCCTGGACGTACACCGGCTCGGCAGGGAGGGAGGAGGGCACTTTACTGGACAGGCACGAAAATTGTAAGGTATGCGCCGAATACCTTGGCGTACGAACACGCGCCCGGAAATGGTACCCGAAAGTAGGGGGGCGACTTGTAAAGCCTCATTGCAGCTCTCAAACTCGCAAAAGCGGCTACCCCGCGTCTCAACACCACATGTAAGCACAGATTCCCACTCTTTGCTCTCAGTGTTAGACCCAAAACATCGTCCCGTAAGCTGCCAACCGTCGCCCGGCTCGATCACCATGGCGCCCTCGCCGAACGGCAGCATTAACATCGACGATCTCTGGCAGCAAGCGTTGGACGAGTATCGAGCCCTGACCAAGGTCAGAGCCGAAGACCAGAAGCCCCCGTCGGACCGCATCCTGGTTTTCTGGGGGAGGAAGAAGCCCGATGACGACCCGCCGACTGAGCAGCAGCAGCAGCCGCCGCAGCCGGAGACTGACAGTGCCGAGTTCCTGACAAACCACTGCATCGACTTTGGCACCTCCCGGGATGGTGGCGGGAAGAGGGACAGAGCCCGCCACATGCTCGCCAAGATTGCAGAGCCCCTAAGAAGTTTGGCCCCCGGCGCCGGCCATGCGGCCAGCGTGACATTCCCGGCCGCCCCAGTTCTTGCTGTGTATGTATACTTGTTTGCTTTTTTGTTTCTTTCTTGGAGCTCACATATGTCGAGCGGCTGCAGATCTTGACGAGTAAGCTCATTCCGTCTGAGGAAGGGTACCGGGAGCATGTGACGCACGTCTTTTGCGCCATCCTGAAGTTCTGCGGCAAGACGCAGCAGTTCATCGTCAAGCCCCCCGGGCAGGACAAGGCACATTCCGACAAGCCCAAGCTCAGCCGCTTCAAGCCCTTCTTCACACGCATGTTCCACGGCGGGGACGACGACGACCTCAAGGCCGTCTACGACGAGGCGATGCGGTGTCTCTTCGGGCTCGACTCGGCGACCATCATGATGACGCTGGCGTCGGTGCTAGGCCTTGACGCCAAGGTCGACGAGAGCAACAAGCACATCGAAAGGCGCTGGGCTACATATCCATCAGCAAGCGGGTCCACAGCACCGACTTTTGGCACTGGACGGACTAGCAGGACAAGAAGATGGACCAGCGCGACAAAAACGACTCTCTATTCCAGAAAAAGGTCAGCGACTTATCGAGAGCTCCAAGATGGGCAATCTGCCCCACGTCGCCGGCGGCCAGCCCGGGGCCGACCGCACTTCGCACACGGTCGACCTCGTCAACTGCGTGCTGGCCACGGGCGCCGAGCACCACATCCGGCAGCGGCTGCTGGGGTTGAAGCGGGACTTTGTCGCGGGCACGTGCGAGTGGGTGGAGGAGGACGCGGGCTACCAGACCGTGATGCAGCTGCCGCCTGGAGCAGAGGGGGAGGCGGCGGCGGCAGGGTCCGTTGGGCTGCACATTGGCGGCGAGTCGGGCATGGGCAAGAGCGTCCTCTCATCCTACCTCTACGACTCGCTGCTGAGGCGGTTTAAGGACGACGCGACGACTTCGGTGGCGTACTTTGCCTTTGACGAGGAGGTTCCGGCCCTGCACTCGGTGATGAACATGGCCTACTACTGCGCCGTGCAGGTCGCCAACCAGGAGAGTGCGTACGCTGACAAGATCGCCAGGCTTATCCGCCGTGACCAGGAACACAAGGGTCTGGAGGACCAGTATTGGGACGAGCTCTTCCTGAAGCCGTTCCGCAGCCAAGAGCGGAAGCTGGTTATGGTCTTGGATGGCATCGACCAACTCCCGGAGGACGAACGAGAGCGGCTGGCCGGGTACATCAAGGACACAAGGTCGGGCGGCGCGGCTTCGTTAATGCCCGTGCGCTTCATCCTGACGGGGACACCGCTCCTTGTGGACGACGGCCTTGGGCTGGAACAGATCGACCTCTCGATGAGGGCGACGAAGGACAGCCTGAGGAAGTTTATTCAGGCGCGCGTGGCAAAGCTGCCCAGACTCGCGGCGCATCGCGAGGGCTTGAGGAAAATGGTCGAGGACGCAGTGGCGGCGAAGACGAATAGTAAGTTGCTCGGGGGTTTTCCAGAGCTCAGGGGTCATGTCATCACGACCTCTAACAGCTTCAAGGCTTCTTCTACGCCCAGAATGCACTCCAGCGACTCGACTGCATTGACAGCACTTCGGTGGTCTCGAGGGCACTCATGAGTCTGCTAGAGCACACGATGTATCTGTGCGGCGTACTGTTGAAGGACTTTCTTGCATACCTGTCCGAGGACACGAAGCGGGGAATCACTAGACTGCTCGTCTGGCTAGCCCACTCCAAAACGCGGCTGAGCCTCGGGGCTGCGGCTCGGTTTCTGCGCCTGAATTCGGTCGACGACGCAAACAAGACTATCCAAGAGGCGGCCGGGAGGGGAGTTTCGAGGTGAGTGCCGGATTGTATAGTATCATGACACACCAGTATGAGCTACTAGTATGAACTACTAGTATGAAAAGATTTGCTGACTTGACGCTCATAGCGTGCTCTCCGTCGCCGACCGGGACGACGGGGACATGTCTGCGGAATCCGATGTCGACAAGGGCCTTGTTGGGTTTCGGGACTGGTCTTTTAGGTCTTGCTTCTCGAGATTCTATCAAAAGATCCAAATCCGGCGGCAGACGTCTTGGGACGCCCGTTCCCAGGTCTCATGCTGGAGGTGACCACAGGGCTCCTGACGATGGCTTGGGAGGACGCCAAGGGCCCGACTAAAGCCGAGGAGGAACTACTGGGCATGCCGCAAATTCCTTCAGCAAATACGTCGTCGAGCTGCCCGTTGCGGACCTGCGCGAGGAGCATGCTCGGTCCGCATTACACGGCGTGCGTTGGGTTCTCGCCAACGAAAATGGGGCTGTGGGGAAGCTGGAAGATGTTGTCGATGCCTTCAACGACGACGAGATCTTCTGCATCCTGGGAGACCATGTGGCAGCGCTGAACATACTGCGCCTTCTCACGGAGCACCCCAAAGCTCCGGCAGTTGATAACGACCATGGCATGGACTTTTCAGCCCGCTACTCCAAAACACTCGAGCAAATTGCCAGGCAGCGCATCAGCAACTGGCAGGAGGCTGCCGGCACTGAGTCGGCCTTCGTTTCGTTCCGGCTCGCCCTTCGAGCGTTGTATGATGCCGGTATCCTCCGCCCACCCGCCGCCCAAACTGAGATTTCCATAAAGGAGATTACAGAAGTGGCCGAGGTTTGGAGGTGGGACCAAACCGCACGGTACCACAAGCAAGTCTCGCTGGTCTTGTTTTTTATCCTCAGACCCGAGGAAGCGCTCGCGCATGCTGAGAAAGGCCTCGAAAAAGCGGAAGCCGACGGAACAGTAGTGGCCTCCCGAGAAAAGCTGGACCTGCAGCTAAGAGTGGTGTGGACGAGGTTCGATATGTGGGAAGATGAATATGAGCCGACCGAGAAGTCCTTCGACGCGCTGGCCGAGACCCAGGCTGCGGTGGAGGACGCGCGCAAGATTCACGGCCTAGTCCAAGAAGTCCTTGACACTGCAAGTCGGCCCGAACTTTCCTCTCGGCTTGAGTCGGACGACGAGCTTCGCTCCGATATCAACGAGTGCTACCAGACGAAATCGAGGCTCGAAGTACTTCTCGATGACCACCGGGAGAACGCCGTGGACACGATTCTCGAGTCGATGGAATTTAACACTCCGGCAGTCACTGTCGACTACTTTGATGGGATCATCGAGGGTCTTGCCGAACACCAGATGTGGGGGGATATTCTTCGCCTACTGGAGGGGATTAAAGATGAGCGTCCTATGAGCGAGGAAAGATGGAATCTGACGCACGAGAACATCCTCACCGCGGCCAGGGCATATAATGCGGAGGGCCGGAGCGTGGTAAGAGACTTCTACATGGCCTCGATTCCGGGCCACTTGGACGCCTCGGACACGGCATCCCTCGGGGCGTCGCTCCCGCTGGCCAGGTTCTACCAGCTCGTCACGCACGGGCCGGCCCTCGCCAAGCAGCGGGCCCGCCAGGTCCTCAACGTCAATCATGGCGGTCTGCGGTGGTTCAACAGGGCCACCGACCTCGAGAGCATCTTCAACGACTGCCTCGATACGCTGGGCGACGACGAGTCGCAAAACGACCCGTACAGCCTCAGGATGTTCGCCAAGACGCTGATGCTCGTCCCCGGCATGGACGAGACGCTGGCGCAGGTGGCGCTGTCTTGCCAGTTTTCGACCCTGAACCCGGAGAGGTATAGAGAAGAGATGAAGAGGGACCGCGGCGCCGGCGAGGAGACGGCCGGCAGGGAGGGCACCAACGAAGAGAACTCTGACGAAGAGGATGCCGACGATAAGAACACCAAAGAAGAGAACACCAACGACGAGAACGGTGACAAAGAGAACACTGACCAAGAGAGCACCGACGGTGAGGCCACCGACGAGGAGACCGCCGGCAGCGATGACAGCGACACGACTCGGCCTACTTCTCCATATCATGCCAAGTCTGCGGCATCAGAACCTCCACCTACGCGCCCTCCAATCCCAAAGCCACCTACCTCTGCTACCAACCACTGCGCCGACAGCGACCTCTGTGCAGAATGCTACGAGCTCCATCAGCACACCACCGCGCCGCGCGACGAGGACAGCGAGCCGGGCCATCTCGACATGTGCCCGGGCTGGCACAGGCATATCCGGGCGCCGGTCGAGGGCTGGGGCGGCTTGGAGGACGGCATGATTCGGTATGGCGAGCAGGAGCCGGTGAAGCTGGCCGAGTGGCTGGAGATGGTCAAGGGGAGTGGGAGAGGTGTTGGGCTGAGTATTGGCGGGGTGATGAGGAGATGAGGGAGAAAAGGGGGCGCTGGATGAGACCATTGGTTCGCCAGCGCATGAATCCAACTGTGTTCGGCCATGTTGTCGGCAGGATTGGCGGGCTTTAAAGCCAGCGCCATCTGGGCTGCCGAGCGTCAGCCGTCTGTGGATTGTGTCGCGTGGGCTCGCGTGCCAGCTGCGCGCCAGAATCAGGTCAGCGCCAACATACGGGCAAACAAAGTAATAAACCAATGCATATGCTTTCCAAAAGATACTTTCGCATTATTCCTTTTCTGCTTCTATCACACCCCTCCTATCATACACCCTAAACATCAGCTCGGCCAGTTAACTTCTAGGCGGAACCAGGCCATGCTACGTGCTGCGACGCAAACCCGGGTTTTCTATCAAACTGCTCCTTGCCTCCCCTAGTCATCGTCGGTGTACCGGGGTCCACTAGCTGCGGGTGTCTCGGGCGCTCCGCCATAGGCCGCGGGCGTCGGAGCCCCATAGTAGCCGCCAGAAGCCGCAGGTGTAGGCGCTGTAGCCGCTGGCGTGGCCGCCGAGTCCCAGCCGCCCTGCCAAGCACCGGGAGTCGGTGCGCTGACAGCCGGAGTGGGTGCCGACGGGTAGGCGCTGGGCGTTGGTGCATTCAGTCCGCCGGGAGTCGGGGCGCCCAGTCCGGCACCCGGCGTCGGCGCATCATAGGCGTGCGACCCGCCGCTTGGTCCAGGGGTATAGCCCCAAGCGTCGCTGGTGCTGGCCCCGGGTGTCGGGGCCGAGAGACCGCCGTACGCCGGAGTCTTGGAGCCGGATGGGTTCCATGCGGGCGTCTTGGACCCGCCCGAGAAAGAGTCGTGGGCCGGTGTTTTGCTGCCGCCCAGACTCCACGCAGGCGTCCGCGAGCCGCTTCCGCCACCATAGGCGGTGCGGCTGCCGTCGTACGGGTTGACGGTCCGTGATCCGTCGGCGATCGCCCACGCAGGCGTACGCGCTCCAGACGGTTCCGAACGACCCCAGGCTGGAGTATGGGATGTCGCTGGTATGCGTGAAGAGTTCATGTCAGTCATACGAGCAGGGAGTAACGGTCGGTTGGAAAGAGACGCGCGCGCGCCTGTGCAAACTTACGCTTTGATCCCCACGCCGGTGTCCGGCCCCCAGCCCCGTCTCCAGCACTCGGCGTGCGACCGCCGTAGTCGGTAGCACCGCCATAACCTCCTCTTCCGCCAGAGCCCCCACCGAACCCGCCTCGGCTCCCACCACGCACGTTGATGTCGATGGGCCGGCCCGTGATTTTGTCCTTGAAGATTAAATCCGCCTTGGGCACCATGATGATCTTGTTCTTGGTATGCAGCTCCACGCGCGCGTGGGTATCCGTGGTATCCTTGACGATTCCGAGCAAGCCCTTGTATCCACCCCGACGAACACTGACCGTCTGCCCAAGCGCGCGATCTCGTCCCATGGACCGCTGCTGCTGCGGGGCAGGCATGCCGTTGCCGGCGACATTCCGCTTCAGAGCCGGATTCATCGCGTTCAGGTCTGGCCCCAGCGACGTCGTGTTGACCCTGCCGCCCTTGGCCGCGATGGTATTGACGTTGCTGGCCCTCGTTACAAAAACACCCGCGTTTTCGCTCGTGGTGCTGCTGTGCAGGTACACAAACGAACGGTGGATGTGGATGATCTTGCCCTGTCGCCTCTGGCCTCCAAACTCCTTGACAACATCGTCCAGCCGGATCTCGGAGCCATTGCGGTCTGCTGCCACGGCTGTCTTCCTCTTGGGTAGCTTGTTTGTGACCTGCGACGGCGCGAGCTGCCGAATGTCTCCGTTTTGGTCCAAGACCGTCAACGATTCACGATCAATCTTGACGATACACCCGACCGTTGTCGGATCCAGCTGGATCAGGTCGAGCAGCGAGTACTGTCCCAAAGATCCCTGCCCGCCAATATCGCTTGCCTCGCGGAGATCCTTGCTGAAAACCGTGATCTCGGTGTTGGTTTGGTCCGTCAGGAGCGTGACCCTGTCCCCAGAGATCTTGACAACCATGCCAACCTCGTCCCTGAAGCGGCTGCCACCAATCACCTTGACGTGATCGCCCTCACTGAAGCGTTTGCGAAGTCCCTTTGTGGGCACCTCGATGGTTTGGCCCTTGAGGTCGCCCTCGGTGACCTGCAGGGTGACGATGTCACCCTGAATGCTGGTAGCCCTACCTACAACACCTTTCTGCTCCCCATCGTAGACTTCGATGATATCTCCGGCAAGGTAGGCAACATTTGACATGTTGCCCTGGAGGCTGGCAGCAAGCGCCTTGAGATCAAGATTCTCGGTACCGTCGTCGGCACCTGAGGCGAACTTGCTTACCTCCTCGAGGGAGGGGTTCACGTCCTTGACAGTAAGCTGCTGGATTTTGATATCCTTGACTTGGAAGCCATTCTCGAACTCTTCGCCGTTGTAGGTCCAGACGTTGGACTGCGCGTTTCCGGTAACGTTGCGGGGATGGCGTTTCCTGGCTTCGACTTCGCTGAAGAGACGCTGTGGCGGCTTAACGCCCGGCCCGACGGCCCGCTTACGCTTTCCGTCCGCGGTAAGGGCGCTGCTGACGGCCTCGTCGCGGACACCATAGTCAAGGCGGGGGATGAAGCGGACTCGGGCCTCGAGACCGTTCTCCGTCACGTCCATGACCTGAGCCAAGTCGCCTGCGTGTTTGAAAGGTCTCCGCAGACGCACCCATGCGCCGGGCTCGAGAGTGGGCGTCTTAGTGACACGCAAGAGATCAGGCATGTCCTTGATCTCGACAAGCATCATCTTGGTGCGCGGGTAGACATTGAGCATGCCGTCGAGCGCCATGAGGATATCAGTCGACCTGTTAGCCTCGACGTAAATGTACCCCTTCATGACGGACTGGGTGCCACCCCGCTCGAAAGCCGACGTGATGCTCAGCTCCTCCTTGGTGTTCATGCGCTCCTCGACCCTTTTCATGATGGAGTATATAACTTCACGCTCCTTGCCCTCCTTGCACCGGACGGCCCAGATGTGGGGATCGTCGACACTCGGCAGGAGCAGCCGCTTAGGAACGACGGTAGAGTCGCCGAATCCTTGAGCATGGCGGCGATTGCCATAGCGCTGTCGGAGAATCTCGGCCTGCTTTTCAGCATCCATGCTCGACTCGATCTCTCGGCGGCGGTCCAGATCACGATGGCGGCGATCGTCATCGAGTCGGCCGCTCTCGGCAATATCGTCGGGGTGTTCGTTGTCGATGAAGTCTTCTATTTCTTCGCCGTCTTTCTCGTCATCCTCGCCCTCGTCTTCATCGTCGACCTCGGCCTCGATATCGAAGAAAGCAGCTCTCCTATCCCGCCGTCTCTTCTTACGGTGACCCTGTAAGTGTGTGGCAAAGGGGTTAGCTCTAGGGCTCGCGAATCCAGGATAGAATGTCGGTCGTCGGGAGGGCTCGACACGGGAGACAGTTGGGGCGAACGTACAGCGCGAACGTCGTCCTCCTCATCGTCCTCGTCGTCCTCATCCTCATCGTCGTCTTCGCCCTCGCCCTCATCCTCATCTTGTGCGGCAGCCTGATCGTCTGCTTCCTCATCGCCGCCGTCGGCGTCGCCATCGGCACTAGGAGCGCCGCGGTCGTCCGAGGACCTGCGAGGCGCATCCTGCTTCTGGTTGTCCTCGTCGTCGGAGACGTCGGCCGGGGCTGGGTTGAAGTTGTCGTCGTCGGACTCGGAGTCGTATTCAACGCCTGACATGATGGGCGTGGTGCGACGGCAGCGCGAGGCTGCTATTTAGCGCGAGCGGCACGCCTGTTTGATCCAACGCCGATTGAGTGCGGCACGGGAATGGCGGGTGGTGATGCGCTTTTGAGGAGAAAGTCAGGCAAACAGAGAAGCCTTGGTTGTGGTTGAGCGGAGCCTCGAGCGGCGCGACAGCTACAAAACGCCAGGTCGTGGGCTCGAAAAAGACGGCCAAAATGGAGGGCGCAGAGTCTTTGGGGACAAAGAAATGGTGATTCAGTCCGGCCAACTGCCAAATCCCGAATTCGCTGTGGATGAAAGCGAAGGAAGCAAGGGAGGGAGAATTATCGTGTCTCTTAGACACGGGCTTGTCAACTTGGACTTATTTGGCGTGTCAAAAGCTCTCCCGGTCAGCACGCCCAGTCCCTGTCGCGCCTGGAATGGGTCCGCAGAATGTCGGACCCGCCCAGCTACAGTTGACGCTTGCCACGAACCTTGCTTGATTGCTTACCTAACTCGACGACGTCGCGACAAGTGCAGAGGGATGATCAGGGACAAAACAAGAAGAATGAAGAAAAAGAAAGAAAAAAAGGCCGACACCCAAAGCATGGATTGAGCACGGGCCAACGCAGTTTCTCTCATCACATCTTATAGAGACTTAGGCCTGTGCTGCTGATTGGGTTCAATTGTGCTCTGCAAGACTCGACACCAAAGCTTGCTGGGTTGATTGCGGTCGCAACGTGGAGCCACAGCCATCAATCCGTCTGGTGCTTCCCTGTTGGTGGATGCCCTGCACTGGGCTGAATTGCGATCCAGCTGGAGGGGAGCGGCGCTGGTGGTTGACTGCCTGTGGCTGAGAACAGCAACCTCGCTGGCTGGTGTTGTGCTGATTCCCGCCGTTTCACTGCACGGTCTCCTGTCATTGCATCTACCAAATCAGAAAGCCGAGCTATTTTCCTTTTTTTTTTCTTGTTCGGGTGCCCAAGGCTGGCCAGGCGAGGTGCCCATAACCGCCAGGGACACCGCCTGAATTGCGGGACAAGAATCGAAAAGGGACAAAAAAGGAGAGGGAGAAACAGGAGAGAAGAAGCAGAGACAGAAACAAGGGAAGAGATTCGGGAGGGGAACTCGTGTGCCCAAACACGAAGCAACTAAGCTTCGCACGTCCACGAACACAGAACAACCCGCCAACCTTGGGCACCGTGCTTTCTGCCCACAGGCCGAGACGCCGCCGACGACACATGCGACAACCCATCAGAACACCAAGCTCCAGCGCAAACCCAGGACGCAGCACTCATCGCGGCCGAGTGAGGAGGATCGCGTCGCATCGCCATCGTTAATCGGCGTCTCCATCAGGACGCTCTCGACTGGACTGCGACACAGCCAGGTCAGATCTGGGGCTGGAGACATTACCACAGGGCTCCATCCCACAATTCGTGCCGCGTGCCAGGCCCAGGGTGCTGTCCCGCCTTGGTCCCCGCCCAAGCTCGTCCTTGCCTCTCGCGCGCCTCGCATCGAGCCAAGAAAGGCCACGCCAGCGCTATCGACCAGTGAATCCGAGAAAGCGAGAAGCTCGGCGATTCGGGGCTCAACCGTGCTCAGCAGTACAGTCGCCACCGAACCCGCGCGTAGAGCCGTATCACACACCATCTACTGCCGACGTCGACATGAATAGCTCAACGGTGCCCAATATACTCAGGCCAGGGGGGTCTCAACGGAGCATGTCCAACACCCCCTTGGGCCTCGCCGACATCCGCCCCAGGGCAGACTCGAGCCTCTCCGACGGCATCCCGGGCAGCATCGCATACGACATTGCCAACACGCAGCAGGGCAACAGCAACCACCTTGCGCCATGGGCCCTCTACGCCTTCGACTGGTGCAAGTACCCTACCCAAGGCAACGGCGCCGGCAAGCTTGCCGTCGGCAGCTACCTTGAGGACGGACACAACTTTGTACGTGACCCTGGTGATGTGCCTTTGTGCGTCGCTGTCCGTATCTCTGGGCTTGGCCGAGACATGTTTACTGACGGCAACGGCGCGCATCGCAGATACAAATCCTTGATACCCAAGTCGTGCCCACCCCCACCGACTCGTACGTACCCGGCAGCTCGAGGAACTGCTTGGAGTTTACGAAAATCGCCGAGGCGACACATTCTTACCCCGTCACGCGCCTGCTGTGGGAGCCGCCGTCGTCGCAGAAGCAGTCAACCGATCTGCTCGCTACCTCGGGCGACCACCTGAGGCTCTGGTCGCTGCCCTCAGACGCGTCGGCAGCGCACCCCGGCAACTCGATAAACCGCAGTAGCAGGGACGTGCAGCCCTCAGCCAAGCTGACGCCACTGGCGTTGCTCTCCAACTCGAAGACCCCCGACCACACGGCGCCGCTCACGTCGCTCGACTGGAATCAGGTCTCGCAGAACCTTATCATAACCTCAAGCATCGACACCACATGCACCATCTGGGATATACCATCGCTTACCGCCAAGACCCAGCTCATTGCGCACGATAAAGAGGTGTATGACGTCCGTTTTTGTGCAAACAGCGTCGACGTGTTTGTCAGCTGCGGTCAGGATGGCAGCGTCCGCATGTTCGATCTAAGGAGCCTGGAGCACAGTACCATCATCTACGAGCCGACTGGCAAGGACGACAAGGGTAAGTAAGCCCCGCGGGACTGGATGACGGCCAGCCTCCCGGCCACCCGGAGGGGAGTGTGCCAGGCTGACTTTCTGGTGATGACATGGCCGACGCAGATCCCAACGGAGGGAGAATAAGCCCAACTCTGGCTCAACAAACCATGTCCAACCCTCCCCCGTTGCTGAGGCTGGCCACGTCGCCACACGACACGCACCTCCTGGCCACCTTTGCCCAGGACTCCAACGTGATCCGCATCCTGGATGTGCGGCAACCAGGACAGGCTCTGCTAGAGCTACGTGGGCACGGCGGGTCGCTCAACTGCATCGAGTGGTCCCCGCTCCGGAGAGGCACGCTCGCTTCGGGCGGTGACGACTGCCAGGTCCTGATCTGGGACCTGCTCAACAATCAGTCCTCTGCTACCCCTGGGATCAACGGGGCGCCCCAGCCCGAGAACGTACGCAGCCCGGTGGCTAGCTGGCATTGTGATTATGAGATCGGCAACCTGGGCTGGACCCCGCAGCTCGCCAACAGCGACAACGGAGAGTGGCTCGGAGTGAGCGCCGGGCGCGGGATCTGGGGCGTCAAGGTATGACCGGGCATCGATCGGCCTGAGTGCGGAGAAGACGCGGCAGAAGTATGCGGACAAGAGAAAGAACAAGGTGCTTCTGCCAGGCTGCCATGATGGGGCAGCGAGGCAGGGGAGTCGCTACACACAAAATTCCATTCCCTCAAAGCCCAGAACATGGTTGCGGCAATCAAGGGGCAAGAACTCGTGCAATTGCGCTACGGATCGGAACACGCCACCCTCGTGAGCCTTGCGGGTGTTGATGGTTGGTAGTACCACAGGACGAGGGCAAGCCCAGGCTCATGACTACGTACCCACCTACCTTGGTAGATAGGTGGGCAGGTGTCTGAGTCCCGCATACGGCCGCCACAGGCCATTACGTGTGATGCGAGGCTCGCGGCCAGCCCCTTTCCAAATCATGGCACGACTAGCAACCAGACCACATGGCTACCAGGCTTGCTCAGCCGCCAGGGGACAACAATGCCCGCCTATGCCCTGGCGTCCGGTGGCTGTCTTCTCCGCCCCGGCGATTAGTTGTGAGTGCCGGTTGTTATTGATATCTTTGGGACTGTTGTATCATTTCAAGACGTTTGGACTGTTGGCATGGCATCTGGTCGGTATTGGTTGGGTCCTTATCTGCGCATTTGCACGAGAAGGGAAAGCACAGCTTCGCAATCGGTATGGACAACTGTTCCTGGGTAGATGGGTAGGTTAGGTTGGAAGACATGGGCAGGTCATGGGTCTGGCTGTACATAGCAAGCAGCTCAGAAAGGAGGCTCCTTGGAGATAATATGTCTGGCTTGGATTCAACACCGTTATTGGCAAGTGGCCGAATCGCGCAGATCGCTGGGCAGCTAGTCTTGTGGTATACCAGCGGGCACGCTTATCGAGGTTGGCATTCTGGTGTGGTGCTGGTGCCATGTGGCGGGGCTCAATGTTCTCTGACATCACGTCACCACTCACCACCCCAAGGTTGGCATCACCCGCAACCAAAGTCATCAAGCTCATAGCTCCCTACCAGTCTCGCCCGACAGCCAGCCCGCCCTTGCGTCCAGCCGTATTGCTACTTTTCATTTTACCCTCTTTCACCTCCCAACGCTCAGCGATAACACCCCAGCACCAACAGAAGCCGGCGCCCCCAAACCATGGACCAGCAGCTCCCCTCGCTGCTCCTGTTGCCGGCCCCACCGGCCCCGGCGACGCGCGAGAGCGTGGCGGCGGCGTACGGCCCGCCGCTAGACGCAGCTGTGGCGCGCGCCGCCGACCCGGCCGCGCCCGTCGTGCTCGTC